CCGACGACCCTGGTACTAACCACTACTATTAATTTTTTGGCCATTCAAATTTTGCATGTTGGTAGAGTAACTTTTCCTCTATAGTTAGTCTTCTTCTTTTTCATTGCAGGTTAAAAGGACTCCAGGCAGAAGCAATGTGCTGACATTGAGTTCTTGATGATGGAGGGGTGCAGGCTGTCTGACATCCACAGAACTCTTCAGAACGTTTCTAGATAATACCATTGACACGAGTCACCAATGACAAGACACTGCTCACGTCAATGGTGTCATCATGGCCAGTGGTGTATTTAGGTTTTGCGCTGCCCTAGGCAACACAAAAATCGCCCCCCCCCCCCAAGGAGAGAGCCTGACATTGACCAACAACACCCTCCACCCCCCCTGAGAGAACTTTCCACTAAAACCTCCATCCCCCCCCAGGAGACAGAGAGAAAAACACTCACCACCCTTCACAGCTCTGGACATCCCACGGAATGAGAGTCGGGCTCTCCATACACCATCAAGCAGCCCGCAACCTCTCTCAGATCTCACCTGGTCCCCATGCCGCATGTGTCCCTTCTTCCATCTCTTCGTCCGGGAGGCGCTGCTGCCCCCATGAAAAATGCCGCTCTAGGCAAATGTCTTGTTTGCCTTTTGGTAAATACGCCCCTGATCATGGCCACATTACAGTTTGGTCCCACTCCACATCTAAATATGCAAGGACCACACGTCATACCCCTTTTTTTAGGGCCGGCCTGCCCAGATACCTCCACTAAATATGCAAAAAAAACAACCCATCATGCCCACTTTATGGGTTAGTACCAGGGCCGGACTGACCATTTGGAAACTCGAGCACTGCCTGAGGGCCTGGGGTCAGTAGGGGGCCCCATGAGATGCCCCTGGTACATTTTTCATAGGCTTTTTTGAGTTTGGGCAAGGACACAGGGGGCCCATGATCCCCTATTGCCCGGGAGCCCCATGAGTTGTCGGTCCACCCCTGGTTAGTACCACCCACACCCTACCTCAAAATATGATGGGACTGCCTACTTACAGTCCTGATCCTCGAAGTAATGTCTTTTGAATTTACTGCATACGTGCAGTAACTCAAGTAGGATTGATGCTGTGATCTCAGGACATTGCCAGGACATAGTGTTGGTAGGACAGTTGGGGGGGCTGTCCCAGACAATTCAAGACAGTTGTCATCTATGGTATTGTATTAGATCACTCAATGCTCTGGTTTTCTGTACAGCCGATGGTTTGAGGCTGACTTTGTGGCGGTGGGGAGCTGAGAGGGGTGGATAAGAGAAAATATATCCAATAGAAGTCTACACATCTGCTAGTGTCTGTTGTCCATTCCTTCTTTTTCTCTTTATAAATATGACAGGTCTGCTTAAATCGAGAGTGCTCCGTATTTTGTTTCCAGTCTGGTTTCTCCATGCCTGTAATCCAGGCTGGGATATTACACTGCAGTGTCATCATACAGCACAGGCTGCTCCGGCAGTCGAAAGAACGCGTCTGTAGTGTTACGTAATGACTATCTTCAGGGACAGATGCCTCTCGATTCTACTTTTGTTTTGTTTCCAGTCTTGGTGTCATTACTACAGATATACAGTAGGATTTGTCAATTTAAAATATATAAATATAATGTATATTAAGTATATAATACAGTACTGTGACACATAAAAATCTATTTTCTTGGAAACTAATCCCCTTGCCCCTCTTTCCTCTACAATTTTAATCAGATACTATATATATAGACCATTATAAAGAAACATAAAGTGTATGTCAAACCAACAAAAAAGTTCTCTTTTTTTGTTCCCTTTGATTTTTTTTTAATTTGCATTGTGAAGGGAAGGGTTGTCAGGTCTGCTCTGCCCCCAGCAGGGGGATCCACTTCCTCTTATTTTTTGTGATTTAATTATTTATTTCAGGTACTCATATAGCGCCATCAATTTACGCAGCACTTTATATATATATTGTACATTCACATCAGTCCCTAACCCTCAAGGGGAGTACAATCTAAGGTCCCTAACTCCCATTCATGCATACACATACTAGGGCCAATTTAGACAGGAGCCAATTCACCTACCAGCATGTCTTTGGAGAGTAGGAGGAAACCGGAGTACCTGGAGGAAACACACACAGGCACAGGGAGAACATGCAAACTCCAGGCAGGTGGTACCATGGTTGGGATTTGAACCAACAATCCCAGTACTGCCAGGTGGAAGTGCTAACCATTTAGCCACTGTGCTGCCCAATTACATTTCTAATCATATGGAGTTAATCACAAGGGTTCCCCTTTACATCTGAATCTACATTTTCCCTTTAGATCTGAATCGGCAGCATTCCCCCTTTAGATCTGAATCCTCAGAGTTCCCTTTACATCTGAATCTGCAGAGTTTCCCCTTACATCTGCATCCACAGAGTTCCCCTTTGCATCTGAATCTGCAGGATTTCACCTTTACATCTGAATCTGCAGAGTTCCCCTTTACATCTGAATCTACGGGGTTGTCCAGAGTTCCTCTTTTCTCTTTTCATTTGAACTTGCAGAGTTCCTCTTTACATCTGAATCTGCAGAGTTCCTCTTTACATATGAATTCACAGTGTTCCTATTTACATCTGAATCTGCAAAGTTTCCCCTTTCATCTGAATTTGCAGAGTTCCCCTTTACATTTAAATCTGCAGAGTTCCCCTTTACATCTGAATCCACAGAGTTTCTCTGTACATCTGAATCCACAGAGTTCCCTACTCTCTAAGGGGGGACCCTGCAGACTCTGATGAAAGGGAGAACTCTGGGGACTCTTATTTAAGGAGGAACACTGAGAACTCTGATGTAAAGATGGAATTCAGATGTAAAGGGGAAAGATGAAGACTCTGGTGTAAAGGGGAACTTTGCACCTGAGTCTGCAGAATTTCCACTTACACTGTAAGGAGGAGCTCTGTAAATTCTAATGTAAAGGGGAAATCTGATGAAATGAAACCTGATTTAAAGGGGGAGGTGGGGGCTCTGATATAAGGGGGAACGCTAGTGAAAGGGGGTGTTTGTTCACCAAAGCCCCCTTTACATCAGCGTCCACAGAGCACCCCTTACATCAGAGCCTCTTCTTACATTAGTAGAGAGAGAAGGGAGGGCAGGACGGAGGCTCAGACATCGACATGTAGCTGTATATATATATATATATATATATATATATATATATATATATACTGTATATATACAGTATATTGAGGGGATTATAAAGAGTGCTTTGAATACCTAATCAATACCAATTTTGCAGCTGTTGTGGTTGCTCTAGATCAGTAGTCTCCAAATTGTGGCCCTTTGCTTGCCTATATCTGGCCCTCGGGGCGCTATTTCTTCCACTGACACCAACAAGGTGGCGCTATTCCTTCCACTGACACCAACAGTGGGGAACCATTCCTCCCACTGACACCAACAAGGGGGCGCTATTCCTTCCACTGACACCAACAGTGGGGAACCATTCTTCTCACTGACACCAGCGATAAAGCTTTATTCCTCCCACTTACACCAATGATGGGGCACTATTGCTCCCACGAATACCAATGACAGGGCACTATTTCCTCCCACTGACACCAATGGTGGGGCACTATTCCTCCATTGATACAAATGACAGGGCACTATTCCTCCCACTAACACCAATGGTGGGGCACTATTCCTCCCATTGATACAAATGATGGGGCACTATGCCTCCCACTGACACCAATGGAGGGGCACTATTCCTCCCACTGATACAAATGATGGGGCACTATTCCTACCACTATGGGACACTATTGCTCCTTCTCTTTCTACTTACTACAGGCACTATGTAATTTTTTTTTACTCCAACTGATGCTGGGGCATTTTCTACTTCCACTGGCCAAAGTCTGAAGGACAGTAAGCTGACCCTTTGTTTAGAAAGTTTGTAGACTCCTGATATAGATGGAAGAGGCATTTCTCAATCACTCACCCTGAAGTCTTTGCAGCTGGCTCCATAGAGATATTATGTGCAGCAGTAGCTTTTTGTGAGTAAGATCCACTACTATGGTCCATATCCCTGTAAGAAAATGACCTAATATGCAGTTAGATCTGGACAGACTATGATTTTTGTGTTGTCCTATTGCTGTGGACAAGCTGTCAAAGTATTGCATGCTGGTAGGCAGGTTGCCTACTGTGTCGTATGTTTAATTAGCTACTTGGCTGCCCAGGTCAGGCGAACATGGTTAATGTTTCTTGCCACCTTCCGTGATCATGTTCACTGGCTTTTTCTGGGGTCCAGCCTTCCTCCTGTGATATATAAAAAGGGAAGAAGTTCATGTCTCCGGCTGGCTTGAGAGAGAGATTGGAAGAATTGCAGAAGCTTGCCGGGACTTGTAGTCCACCTTCGGAGCACCAATTCATTGGGATCCCCATCATCATGGACATCTTTATGCACGTTCTTCCAAAATTGGACTTTACTCAAAAGGACTTCACTTTTTTTCAGGTATACCAGGGCAGCCTCAGTTAGTGTTAGTTAAGGAAAGGATGTTTATCCTTGTTATACATGTGATGCTGAACTGTCAGTGAAAGTTGCTTCACCTCCATGAGCCTGGTCTGAAGTTATTCAAGGGGTGCATGTTGGGTCTTGGCGTATTCCTAAAGAACCTGGGCCTGTAATCGCACTATGGGGTATGTGTAACACTACTACAAAAAAAAAAAAGGGAAAGAAGAGAAGGTAATTGCCATGAGTAACCAAAAGGAAGAACAGCTGTAGCAACAGGCATTGCATGATACCTGGTTAGGTGACAAGTTCTTCGGTAGTGAGGGGGGCAGTGCGCTGACTCCCTCCCTAGCTGTCCATGTCCTCTGGCCTCTGCGATCAGACTAGCGTTAGGCCTGATCACTATGTACGGGAAGTAAAGAGTTAACATAGGGCATGCATGTGGTCAGTGCGGTTTCATTCTGTTACTGGAGTCAGGTAACAGAGGTCTGCTGGGCTGGTGGAGTGGGCAATGGCTCTGATTGTCACTCCGAATGCAACACATACATCTGTACAAGCAGGGGCGGACTGACAACGCATGGGGCCCCCGGGCAATAGGGCATCATGGGGCCCCTGTGTCCTTGCCCACACTCAAAGCACAGCCAGAAAAGCCTATAAAAGGTACCAGGGGCATTTCATGGGGTCCCCTACTGACCCCGGGCCCTCAGGCAGTGCCCGAGTGCTCGAATGGTCAGTCCGCCCCTGTGTACAAGTGTGTAGTGACATGGGACAAAACACCTTAGGGAGGAACTTCGTACATTAGCACTGCACACAAGTGGCTGATCTCTGAGTCAGGGGCTGTCTCAATGTTTGTTTCTTCACATGACTACAGCCTCCACCTGGAGGTGGTAAGCATGCCTTTGGGTGAGGTGTTACACATGGGCACAGGCACAGTGAGACCCCCCACCCCCACATGCCACTAATGATATTTGGGATTTCCCGATTCTCAATGCACAATAAATTTGCACTTTAAATCCTGACCTACAGTGTTGAAACTCACTACCTGTACAAATATGTATATTATTAATATTATTATTAATAATAATAATAACAATAATAATAACAATAATAATATCTATCTATCTATCTATCTATCTATCTATCTATCTATCTATCTATCCATCCATCCATCCATCCATCTATCTTTATTATATATATATATATATATATATTTTTTTTTATACACACACACACATATATATATATATATCTTAGAGAAATATGTGTTTATTAGTATATGGGAACTCGTTTATCAGTGGGTGGTTTAGTGTCTCTCGATCTGCAAGCCTTCTGAATGATTAAGCCTTCATAGGTCAGTGTCAAGCATGCTCTCCTTCCGTGATTCAAGATTAGAACATTTTCAAAATCCCTGTATGAATGAAAAAGTTCAAGCACCTGATATTCTTCCAATAAATACTCAAACAGGCTTTAAAGAGAATAAGTCACGCTAGAAATGTCACCCATCAATCTGAGAAAAGTTATAAAATCCCTCTAAAATACTTGGGACATAAGTAGTTATTTTCAGAAAACCTATATTGGCAGAAATTGTTGGCCTGGCCTCGTTGAGAGTTTGACCTTCGGTGCCCATTCGAAGATATGCTCCCTGCTTATCTCCACTTCATTCTTCCTTCTGATCTTCCTCCTCTGTCCTCTTTAGGGCTTCTTCACACAAGGCATGCATTTGAACTGGCAATAATGTAAGAACATCTTAAACACATTGGTGCCAACAGTCTCCACTGAAGGCTATTTTTTTCATGTCCATGCCCTTTTTGTTGGAGAGCGTAACAACTTGAATGAAAACTATTAGGGTGTAAAAGGACCCTTAAATCTGAAACGCAAACAGCTAAATATACAGCTGGGAAAAATCTAAATATATACTTTAACACCATATATATGTTCAGTCTTGCCTGCCAAAACCCGTGTTCCAGACACATCTGCCAGGGAGGAAATTAATGACCGAGCTTTTCTCCTCTACAGTTAAGCAATACAAGCTTGGTCACAGGCCTAAATTTACACTATTGATTGGAGAAATTACATAGGTTTTAGACCTACGGCTCTACAGTTAAGCTATACAGCTTGGTCACAGACCTATATTTACGCTATTGATTGAATAAATTACAAAGGATTACACATACGGCGTTTACAGAGGAAGGGAGCATTAGAAGATTATGGGGAAGATAAGCATCGATGGGAGGTAAGGGTGGAGGTCATGAATGGGCAATGTGGAAGATTCCATGTAGGTACAAATATTGGTAGGGTAGCCATTTGATGGGGCTGTAGTGGCTTAAGCGGGCCATATACCAATAGAATTTCATTTGATAGATTTTCAGAAAAATCATCAGAGCATTTGATCTCGCCATCATTAAGCCAACTCATTTCCTTTGAAAGCCCTTAAAGATGAATTTCAGGCATTGTATATTTTGACATAGTTACATTGGTCCAACTTAAACCAATGTATATGTTGGGATCTTGAGGATACTAAATGCCATACCTGGCTGATGCCTCCGGAATCTGGAAATTAATAAGTAGACATCACTTCTCCAGTGATCTACACTATCTTCCAGTCCCATGCTGAGTGGCTGCCCTGCTGCATTCTGTACTCAGGAGGCCGACTTCTTGGCATGGGCACCATGAATGCAAAACATTCTCTGTTTAGACAAGGTGGACAGTGAGACATCCCTGCCCAGCCTGTCCACCTCATCCAGAGAATGCTTTGCATTCATTCAGAAATTGAAAAGCATTCTCTGAATGATGCCCGTGCCAAGCAGTTGACCTCCTGTGCTCAGAAAGTAGCAGAACAGTTGCTGGGCATGGGACCTGGAACCAAATGGAGATTATGAAATATATAATATACGTGGAATTTTTCTTCAGTGGAAGTGACTGGAAGTTTAATTCAGACTTGCTACTTGAATAGAATCCCAAATGTATTTAACGGCTTTCTTTTGATAACACATGCTCATTACAATACGAATAATTATTCCTGTATGAAAACCACAAAAATCACAGCTAGAATTTTGTTTGTGTAAAAAAAAAAAAAAAAAAATTTCTATTCAACTCCTTTAAATTTTCTTGTCATTGAAAACAATCATTGATTTGACCCCACTGATGTATGGCCAGCTTTAGTGCAGTAACTTGGCCTCTCTGCGTTGTTTGTAATTCAGCCATTGTGTAGGGCTGCAAGCAAGAATCAGAACCCGCACTTGTAATGGGCAATTATGGCTGCCCCCTTGTCCATATATAATTACAAACTGTACTTTGGGTAAAGGGGTTTTGGCAGTTACGGACAGCATGGAGTGGGTTTCATGGCCACCTGCTTCTGTAAATATTTGGGCTCCATTTGTGCGGAAGATCCTACAGGGCCAAATTAAAAAAGGGCAAAGTCATAAGAAAAAATAGAAAGAATGGGAAGGGGGGGCAGCATGGTAATTAATTAAAACTGTTGACTGGTGAACATCCTACAGGTTGAAAATGTTGCAAGATGAACATGCCCTTTACAGAAGAGGTGCTCACCTCCCCAATGGGCTGTGTCTCCAACATCCTCTCTGTTACCACCATCAGTTTCTTTGACGCTTGACACTTCTGGGAATGTCAAGATCGCCATGTCCTTTTCTGTGTGCTGTGGTTGCTTCCTTAGACCCCATATCTCTACCAAACTCAGCAGTGATGTAGAGGTCGAAGGAGGGAGCCACAGAGTATTAGGGACATGGGCATTTGACACTGCCAGAAGAGACTGAGGACGGACTGGAGGAAAAGTAGGATGCTGTTGGCGGGCTGTTGGAGAAGCAAATATCTCTTTCCCTACAGGAGCCTGTTTTTTTATTTCTTTAGAGACCTGGCAGGGTTTTTTTTTTAAGCAATAGCAGTTTTGTAGCCCATCCAGCACTACAAACATTGTAGCAGGAACCGTGGGAGATGGCTGTCCTCAGCTTCGTACCTTGTACAGAGTAAATCAATACAAGACTCAAGCCCAGCATGTATTTTCTGAAGACAAAATTACCTGTAGAACCCAACAATCATGTACCATGCGCTCAATGACATTATGTAACTGCACAAGTTGAGCCAACCACCTTTACAGCGCTCCATAGACAGAACGTTTGAGTTATACATGTACAGCTGTAGCATATCAAACTGTAGAACGAAAACCGCTTGACGTGATTTATTTCCATTTTCTCCAGCCTAGTTAGAAAGCTTCACCAACACATTCCGTACTTTTTCGAATTAATTAACTAGCCTTTCTTTTCCCTTCTTGGCACTCTGTGGTCCATCACTCGGGCTCCCTTGGTCTTGCTCTTCAGGTTGGTTCCAGTACTTGCCTTTGGGAGCTCATATTCGCCCTTCCAGTAAGTCAGTCCTATGCAATTTAACTTTTGCTTTTTAATTTTCTGATTATTGGTTAGTTGGGTAACCACCTGGCATCTGTAATTGATTGCCGACCTGCCACAGTACATTTACTGTGACAGGTCGGCTCGTACAGGCACAATCACGTACCTGTATATGGCGGCTTTCTTTCGGGTCCGCTCACACATGTGCCCAGACCCAGAAGACTGTGCTGTCATTCACTGCAGTACAAGCTGATAATTGGGTCCTGGCCAATGATTTATGACCGGGACCCGCTGATCGGCTCAGGGAATGACAGGAGAGAGCTCTAAACAACACAGGGCTCTCTTCATACAGCAGCGATATGACACTTTTTTTCTCCCTGCAAAGCAGGGAATAAAAACCAGCACATTGCTTAGTAAAACAGCACACACACTAAACATTATTAGGCACATATTTAACCCCTTGGTCACTCTGGATGTTAACCCCTTCCCAGTCAGTGGCATCAGTACAGTGACAGTGTATATTTTTTAGCACTGATCACTGTATTAGTGTCACTGGGAATGTCAGTGGCAGTTAGTCAATTTCCCTCCCTTCCCAGTATCAGTAAGTGTCAGATTTCCCACCACACTATCGTAGTCCCACTATAAGTCCCTGATCACCTCCATTAGTAGCATAAAATAAGAAATAAATACAAATTCCAGTATCTGTACCATAGTTTAGACACTATAACTTTCACGCAAACCAGTCAATATGCACATATTGGGATTTTTTTTCCACCAAAGACACGGAGCAGAATGCATTTTGGCCAAAATGTATGAAGAAAGTAAGTTTTTAAATTTTATTTTTTATTAGATACATTTATAAATATTGTTTCAAACCCCAATTGTATTGGTTCAAAATGTGGGGTCTTTTTCTGTTTATATCACAAAAAATAAAAAACTCAGTGGTGATCAAATACCAATAAAAGAAAGCTCTGTTTGTGTGAAAAAAATTATATAAATTTTGTTTGCGTACAGCATTGCATGACCAATTAAATTACTGCAGGGCTAAATAAAAAAAAATGGCCTGGTCATGAAGATGGTAAAATATTCTGGAGCTCAAGTGGTTATATTAAAATTGAACTTTAATATAAATCTAAAAAAAAACTTAAAAATATAATAAATAAATGTAATATATATTATAATATATTAAAATATATGTTTTAATTAATAAAAATATAGGTATATATATATATATATATATATACAGTATACTGTACCCAGCCTCTAACTGTCTCCTGTAGGACGTTCCAAGCCTCTGACTGTCTCCTGTAGCACGTTCCAAGTCTCTAACTGTCTCTTGTAGCATGTCCCCAGTCTCTGTCTCCTGTAGCATGTCCCCAGTCTCTAACTGTCTCCTGTA